TAGACGACAATGACCACGTCTCAAGATATATATATATATATATATATATATATATAGGTGAAAATTAAAGCTTCCGCCTTTTGTTGGGTCCTTGCCATCATTATCAGGAGAGTACTTTAAGGATGAGGAAAATACCCAGTAACATGGTGAAAGCTGGATACAAGGTACAATGGTCAAAATTATAAAAACTTCATACTACTCTCCTGATGATGATGGCAAGGAACATTGAAAGCTAGAGAGATTAAAAACGTATAAAGACTCCTCCTTGTTTAAATTTTGTCGGAGTACCCAACAAAAGGCGGAAGCTTTAATTTTCACCTAACTGGTCTAGACGACAATGACCACGTCTCATGTTATATATATATATATATCTTTCCAATTTGTGATGCTTAAATACGACCGTGAGAGTTAAACGATTAATCTCCCCCGTAGGTTAATATTGTCCGTCTAATATTTTCGGAAGCGGAGGCGATTGTTTGAAGTGGCCTCATGTCGGAAGATCTGTGTCAAGAGACGGAAAGAGCTCATATTTCATCGGGAAAATGTTGGGGCTGGAGTGTATTTCTTATTTGACGGACATTTGTTTTAGCTGGAAGCGAAGAGCCGTCAGTAGAAAAGTGACCGACGAAACGTTAGAATTATTTCGGTTTTGAGGGTCACGAGGCTCTGAAAGGTTGGGTCGTGTGTTCGCGATAGATTGTTCTACGTGACCACATCGTCGGAATTGCTCGCAGGTCGCTAATTAATGTCACATAGTTATTTTGGTAACTAGCAGGAACGCTGACGATGTACGGTCCTGATGTAATGGTAAAAACAACAGGCAGTAGCTACAAACTATAGTGAATACCGTAGTTCATCATACTGAAATGTATCATCCTCATGTCAAGCAATGGAACAGGTAGTCGTCATGCAACAAAAATAACTAACTTACGTTATTTTTCACAGTGATAACTAGTACGTATGTTTGGTGAAACAACAGTTTTTGTGACCATGGTAAGTTCACAATACTGACACTCATGACAAGCTGCTTATTTTTTTTTCGATTTTAATGTAAGCTAACCACAAGATTCCACAAATACATTGCTTTTATGAACACTGCCTATTCCTGGCATTGATTTTTATCTCTGATCTTAAACTCATATTTCTGTTGTGTCTTAACCAATTTGTTTATAACTCGGAATTAAGATAGTCCAGCCTTACGAATTCTGGCAACACCTCCATCCCTATTCTCCGTAGCTAACAGCTTCAGCCTGCTACTCTACTAAGATCGAAATAACGAAGGTCAAACGTTATTCCTCTTTTTAAGATTATTCAAGTGCGCTTCATAACCCTGAAACATAAAATCACTATAGTTAAAAATTATGGACAGGTAAGCGGTTAACCCAAACAACAGTTATCAGAATTCTACAGCATGTAACATGAATCTTTTTAATGTAACATCTGACACCTATCCAGTGGTTGACATGTCGATAATCCTCAGTGCTTGTCTGGTCAATTAAGACACCATATAGTGACAGAACTTCTCTATTGTAGTAAATGTTTCAATCACGAAGTTTCTAAATCCCTATTTTGTTAAATATTCAAATAGACTCTTTCAGGATAATGACTGAAGCCAGTCAATATACAAAAACGCTCAACTTTGCCAGTCTGCGACCTTAAAATATGGTAATGTGGTATTCTAAGATAATAAAGTGTTCAGAAGGAGGTCATCCCCGTAGTATATATTATCAACTTCATCACTTCAAACTTCAGCTCGTTAATTTGACCCATTCCAGAAATATATAGAGAGGATCATTCTGGAAAGCACTGTGAAGGCAGATGCAGTTTTACTAGTGATAATAAAGATGGAACTTGTAAGATGCTGCTTTCTCGGCATTTTCAGCAAAGTTAATTAAGAGAAGTTCTTACTCACAATTACATGTCTCGTCGCGATGACGCTACCAAGAAGGTGTATGCCTTGTAAGGGTATGTTTGATATAATGTTTACCATTGCCAGCATCGGTACGTTTTAGCGCGTGCGACGCTTACCTGAGACAAGTATAAATTAGATTCCAAAAAGTGCGGCAGTATAACTTCATGCACATAAAAGCCTGAATAAATAGCAACAGATAAAAACCAGAGATTTCTTTAGAAATGCTTTGAACTTGCAATGATCTGCAGGGCTAGAAGAAGCTTCTTCTGGTAGATTGTCATGAGCTTTTGAAACCCTTGGAACGGACAAGCAATCCTAGCAGCATAGGTTTGTAAAGCACACACGAACGCGAATGTGAAGCAGTAGCCTCATGAACTGATTCAGAAGAACAAACTCTGTAAATCGTCTGACTTTCTTCAATGTAAGATGAACTCGTATCCCAAAAATTAGATTTGCATGTGAAATGCTTGGTATGAGTAAATTAGTGAGTCGGTGTCACTGTATATTACCTTGGATTTTTTCAAAACGAAGTGCCGCGACAGATACAAGAAAGGGATATTTTAAAATTGCCCCGAACTTACTATGATCAGCAGGGCTAAAGAAAGCTTCTTCTGGTAGGTTATCATGAGCTTTTGGAATCCTTGGAACATAGAAGCAACCATAGCAGCCTATTCTAGACTTGTAAAGCACACACGAACGCGAATGGGAAGCAGCAGCTTCATGAACTGGTTCAGAAGAACAAACTCGCAAATCGACTGACTTTCTTCTAGTATGCCAAAAATTAAACCTGCATATGAAATGGTTGGTCTAAGTAAATCAGTGAATCGGTGTCACTATATATTACCTCAAGTCGGATTTTTTCAAAACTCAATAGAACCCATTGTATGACTCAGAACACATTTATCTTTTATAATGGTTTTGAATATCAAATCATATGAATAAATAACGAAGTATCGCGACAGATTCAAGAAAGAGATTTTTCAGACTCGTGTTGAATTTGAAACCCTGTTCAAAAGAAACAAACTCTGTGAGTCGACTGACTTTCTTCAATGTATGATGTACTAGTATGCCAAAAATTAGATTTGCATGTGAATGCTTGGTAATAAGTTAATCAGTGAGTCGGTGTCACTGTATATTACCTCACGCTGACTTTTTTCAAAACTTAATAAAACCCATGGGATCAGTGATAACATCTTCATTTTTTTATAATGCTGACTTATTCTTAATGCTTTGTTGTAGAAGGTTTTGAATATCCTTGAAATCGTGTGACCGCCTGACCTTGAAACGCGAATGATTCTGAAGTGATGTGACCTCGAAATTGTAAACGGCATTGACATTGAAGCGATGTGACCTTGATACTGTAAATGACCCTGACCTTGAAAACCTAAAAGACCTTGAATGACGGCGACTTTGCAAGTCTAATGGCCTGGAGTTTGCTCGACCTTGAAATTGACCATGAAAATATGAACGACCTGGGGATTGTAAACGACCTTGAAGTCTGACGGGTATACATACCGGTCCGAATTCGCTGTCACTGCGACGTCATTTTCCTCAAAGGACCAGGGACCAATAATCTCAGCTAAGGAAATTGCACACCACACTGTGACTTTAGGCGAATGGAGTTGCTTTTAATGCAATTCTCGATACCTGCTATCAGTCCATAGCATATATTTTGTTTGTTTACGGACCCACACAAATAAAAATGGGCTTTATCACTAAAGTAAACAATAGCGTCATCAGGAACTACTACTAGAAGACGCTCACTCGCGCTCTTTCGAGAACTGGCGTCACATTCAGAAGGTTTCTTCACAATTGCCATCTTATAAGGATGGAAATGGAGAGGTCTCCGCACAGAACGATCCGAGAGTCTGATGGCAGACACATGTTTGCGCGTAGAACGCCGTAGTTATCGCAACATTGAATCTCTGACTGTCTCAACGTTTTCAGATGATCTAATGGACCAAGGGCATAATAGCGACTGAACAGTGTCCGGACAAAACTTTATTGTCCCGTATTTAGTATACTGTATAGAGATAATGTTGTGTAGTAGAATCGTTAGATGTAAAACCTTGTGCCCGTGTTTTAAGGTAAACATGCTGTTACCGGGCTTTTATGCAGCTCAACTAAATTGCAGCTTATAACAGCACAAGGCATTTCAATTTGCTGTTTTCCGCATCCCAAAGCGTGCATTTTACGCATATGCTTATTTATTCGTGGTTTTGTTGCGTTTATCATCCCTCCTACGTTTGCGCTTTTGATTCCACCACTATGCTCTCTGAAAACATGCTATAGGGCAACGTGCGGTTGTGATTATGCTGTTGTTTTGAAATAATACATACTATCCACCATATTGTATGCTGAACACATATTTATACCAGCTCACTATTTCATTGAAAAAAATTGGCGGAAGGTGGATTGACTCTATGCCTCTTTCCTTAGTTTTCAAAGAAAAGAGATGAGTCAAATCGTTTCAATAGGCGAAATCTAATCGTGATTAGGTTCACTCAGGTACGATGAACCATCGACCCCGAAACAACGTCTGCATATGAGCAGGGGGATTCTTACACGTTTCAACACTATGTTTCAGCGATATTATTTCCGCTCTGAATCAATTTCCAAAATCTCCGCCAAAACTATGAAAGTAACTAAACGCGATAATATTCGAACAAGTCCGTGCCTTTCAAAGTGGTTTTAACGGCCATGACCTGATTAGTAGGGAATATCCTGGGTAACAAAAAATTTTGAATCTAAGGTGTTATTACTCATAGATAATGCCCCTGGTCACCCAGCCGGCCGCTTACAGGAAATAAATCGCAATGTTCGAGTAGAATTTCTTCCACCAAACACCAAATCAATCCTACAGCCTCTTGATCAGGGAATCATTGCCATCTACAAAGCTTATTACACGCGACGCACGTTTAAATTGCTGTTAGAAAACTTGGATCGCGACCCTACAAAAACATTAAGCCAATGCTGGAAGGATTACACAATTGCAGATTGCCTACATAATATTAAAGAATCGATTGGTGAACTTAAAAAAGCGACATTAAATGGCTGCTGGAAAAACTTATGACCAGAAATTGTGAAGTCTCATGCGAAGGTGCCTGATCTCAGAGACGAAATCAAAGAAATTGCTGATTTAGGTAAGTCATTACCTGTAGAGGGATTCGATGATATGAATGAGGACGATATAAATCAGCTATTTGAATCGCATAATGTTGAACTCACTGAAAGAGAACTCATAGAACTGACGGAGAACAATTATGAAGCTCAAGAAAAAGGTGAAGATGATGAAGTCCCGGCACCAAAGTAGTTGACGAAGAAAACGCTTGATAAATGTTTTACCATGGCACACGATCTCACCTAGCTGTTAATCAGGGAAAATCCTACAATGGAAAGAAGTTTAAAAACTAAACGAAAGGTTTTTGCAGCATTGGCACCATACAAGTGGAAGTTGAGAAGAATTTACGCAACGAAGCTAAACAGTCAAAAGTTACGTCTTATTTTTCTAAAAATTAATATTTTTGTTAAAAAATTAACGTTTAATTTTCTCATACATAATATGTACAAACATACCTATGCATATTATGTATTTACCAAAAGTTTATGTAATAAAATGTTTTTGTTTCGATATACGCGGTTTCTTTTTACGCGGTGTTTTCAAAGAACGTTACCCCCGCGTAAAACGAGGGACGCCTGTATACTTTGAAGTTGAGTCATTAATTTTCAGATAATGATTGTAGAAGGAAGATAAACCAAAATATGTGTGTAAAAATAAAAAAAAAATGTTACCTTGTTTTATAAAGTATTCTCCCGACAAGTATTTCAGTGCGGACCTGTATTTGATCGTGCGGTCTTGGAGCACCGGCATGCCCTCCCCCGTGAGGTCTTAAGTCATCTGTTTCACGAGCCCTTTGTACTACATTAACAAAGGCACGAGGGGCTGGTTGCACTCGATTGGTAAACCGATCCGCATAAATCCGTGATTTCGCGGCAGCATTTTGTGAAGACTCCACCCCCCCCCCCCCCCGTAAATAAGAATCATGTCCACAAGTTCATCATTTTCGTAAACATGTGCCATTTTTTATTTCGTTTGAGGCACGCAACGAACACCACTATTCACTCACGCGTTACCGACTGACACATTCACTGAATACAACTAAATAAAATTGTAGTAAAAACATCGTGATAAGCGTTTCAAATTGTTTCGCTTTTTTGTTTCCGATGCGATGAACCGATATGGCGGATTATATCCGTTGTTGCCAAACACGAGCACATAATATTATTATTGAGACAGGGCGGTACTCTAACTTCTAAAGGGCTATAACTTTGATACTTTAATTTTACCACAAAAATGTTAAAGGAAAAAAACATTTCTTTTGATCAGATCTACTCACTGTTAAAATAAATGACTCAACTTCGAAGTACGTATCTCTATTGTTCGAAAATGTCTGAATTAAGGGCAATCGTCGTAAGAATATCCCGCGAATTTCCAAAAGCATATGAGAACATTTCAAAGGGAGCGTATGTATTCTCGTACCAGCCGATAAGCAAAAATCAGCTAATTCGCATCGTTTCTAATGTCGTAATATTTGCTCGCCTTTTCAGCCCAACTTTTTTCCGCCGGATTCAAATGCACGACATTAAGGAGATTACGAACATATAGAAACGGTCACCATAAAAGCCCCGTATCAGTTGTTAAAGCGCAGCATAATGCGCCCTTTTATACTCGAAACAAAAAGTCCGAATTAAGGGCAACCGTCAGAGAAGTATCTCGCGGATTTTTTGCCGCACGCTCTGCAATTCAAATGAGGACGCAGTAAAGCGTTTATCGGTGAGCGAGGAAACAGGGGGAATTAGTAGCGGAGTTCTGTTCTCTGTTACTGACCTACCCTGGCAGGTACAATAAATACAATAGGACGTCGATACGCTCGCGCAATGCTGTGCTGCATTGCAACGTGAGTAACTCAGATCCGTAATTGTAATTCAGCCTGAAAGTGTCAAATACATACTGCGAAGCTAACCATTGACTCTTTTACTTCTTATGCAATTGCAATCGCGAGAAGTTTCGAAAATGAAGAGTTATGGTTTTGCCACTAGTTAGTGGCTGGACAACAAATTTTAGTTTTTAATTGTATCTTGTGGGAAAAGTGCACTTCTTTGTTAATTTTGGGGCGCTGAATCCAAAAATGACAATGAAATAAAAAAATTAGTTGCGGTTTAGAAAAAAAACTTTTTATTTTTAAGGATATGTTAAAAAAAGTAACAACATTCATATACTTATAAGAATCACTATATGCGCTGTCTTTTTGCTGTTCTTTTATGGATCGTTTCTGGAGCATCTCTACCAGGAGTCCAACAGTAGTCTGCAAGCATGGAAGGATTCCACTTTCCCTGGTACCTTTTTTCCATTGTTGAAATATCCTGATGAAAACGTTCGCCGTGCTCATCACTTACGGCTCCACAATTGTCAGGAAAAAGTCCAGATGTGAGTGTAGGAAATGCATCTTAAGAGACATATTACAGCCCATCTTTTGATACGATGACAGCATATTTTTGACAAGGGTTTTATAGTTGTCAGCTTTTCTATTTCCCAAGAAATTAGCGACCACCATACGAAAATCATTCCAAGCAGTTTTTTCAATACCTGTTAAAGTGTTTTTCAAACTATGTATATTTCAAAATATTTCGAATCTGTGGCCCAACAAAAATACCTTCTTTGACCTTTGCCTCACTTAGTCTTGGAAATTTCTGACGCAGGTATTGAAAAGCTGACCCATCTCTATCTAATGCCTTGACAAAGTTTTTCATTAGGCCCAACTTGATATGCAGTGGTGGTAATAAAATTTTTTTCGAATGGCATATGCTGTACATTTTTTTGACCTGGCTCTAGGAATTGACGAACAGGCCAGTTTTGTCTGGTCTAATGAAGTGCCTTTGCCCGGCTGTCCCATTCACACAAAAAACAGCAAAACTTTGTGTAGCCTAGCTGCAGCACAAGTAAAGGTGCAACAACTTTCAAATCGCCACAAATATGCCATTGGTGCTCATCGTATTTCATGCATGTCAATAGGTACTCCATATTGTCATATGTGAACTGCATACCCTACAGGAAGAGATGGCAAAATATTTCCAATATGCAATAACACTGCCTTTAAACTCAATGTTGAACTGTCTATAAACAATCTCCATTCTTCTGGGTTATAGTTTATATTTAAAGCCGCCAGTAAGCCGTTAATGTTACTGCAGAAAACCAAGTTATTCTCCATATTGAAAAATCAGTCTTTGTGGCGTTTACGAAAAACACATACCGAAACATCGTCTTCTAACAAGTTCCACTGCTGCAGTCTTGATCCAAGTAACTCTGCCTTACATTTTGGAAGTTCTAAATCTCTTACAAGATCATTTAATTCTGACTTTGTTATTTTGTGCGGTTGGTGGCATGACGTGCTCGGTATAAAATCAGGATCTCTTGACGTTGATGGCATATCTTCTTCCTAACGAATCACTCGATCGCCACGATCTGATTCGTTTTCTGATTCGCAAGTGTAGGATTCTGGGGGTTTTGGAATAGGATTTTCGTCACTGTGAGGCACAGGTCTCATCGCAGATGGTATGTTTGGGTAGTTAATAACCGATTTTTTTTCTTGGACATACCTGTGGCTTGTCCAACACAAGCTACCATGCGAAAGTAACAATCATTAATATGATTTGTAGGCTCTCTCCAAACCATTGGGACAGCAAAGCGCATAGACCGTTTTTTGCCATTTAACCAGCTCCTCAGACTTGAAGCACATGTATTACAGCAGATGTGGGGTGCCCACTATTTGTCTTGATCACCTAGTTTACAACCGAAATAAAGCTGATATGCCTTTGTTATTAGTGGAGTAATAGACAGTTACTGAGACGCAAAAGTCACATCACCACACACGTAACAAAACTGATCTGGATTGTTTACACACTTTCGATGTAATCGTGTAATGTACACGTATGTATAACGTAACACAATCATGCCGATTACATCATCTTTCCTTGCCGAATATAAAAATGTAGCACGTGCATTCTTGTGAATTACAGTATATTAACACTGTCACAGCAGGAACACATATAATTACCGTATCTCTAAAACTTGAACTAATATTGAAAAAATGAGTTTCATTCCGGTTTTAGCACATTAAAAATAGTAATATTTTGTTGATTTTATTCAGGATATTTTTTGGTTGTTGATCAGTGAATTTTGGAGTTAAGAAACTTGTCCTTGTTTGAGTTTGATCAGCATCAGGCTGTGTGTTCTGAGCTGGGACGGGCAACGTTTCTTGTAAATGTATCTCGGAATCCGAAGATGACTTTTCTTGCACTGGTTCGTAAGATGATGTCGAAGTAGTTAAGGAAGCAACATATTTAGCTCGACGCTTTTGTTCTTCGGTGTTCGTAAGACGCGCCTTTTCTTCTTTTATGGATAATTTCTCGTCCACCCCAGCTAAATGACCTGGTCGATCTGGCTCTCTCTGCCGCTGCAAGAAGATCCTATCTTCATTTATTTTCATCAAGTATAGGACATCTGCTTGCGCAATATCAGACAGATTGTCCAACTCTTAACAAACTATTGTATACGTTGCTCAAACGCTTCTTGTTTTGCAGATCTCTCCAAACTTGGTATAAGGTAACTAGTTTCATAACACAGTTAGATGGAGATTTGGTCGGTATACGTAAATAATGTACTCACGAATAGTAAGGTTAGTGCTCTCATTGCCACTTGTCACTTAATGTCACCACCAGATATTATAGAACAAAGCTGTCAGTACTTGTCCATTACAAGGAAGTATGAACCGGTAATTTGGTGCTTTATGCCCCCTATTGAAAATATTTTCTTTTTCGAAAACAGTGCTCTTACTAATAGAACAAATAAGCACATATGCAAATTTTGACATGTTCCAACGCAACTCAACACGTGTTGCCCTGGTTTAAGTACATAAAACTTGATTTACAACTGTTTTGACATTGTTCGAGCAAAATTAGAGTATAGGTATCGGTATGGCTTTGAAAAAAAGAATTTTTATATTTTTGGGACACGTGAACCGCATCACTAAGCGGGAGCCCCATGATAGGCAGTCTTGACGATTAGGAACTGGAAGGGATCTTTCGCTATACACGACCGGAATTTAGTAGTACTTTAGGGCTCCTGTTATAACATTCGCAATGTCATTATAATCATAATAACAATTAACGTCTTTTTTATTTGTAATAATGCTAGAGGAGGCGAGATTTAGATACTGTGTCTATTCTATTACCTAACCCTTTAAACAGGTTGCA